CAGTCACCAGGGATTGGCAAGCATCTCGGTGTGAGAGAAATCTAGATGATTCCAACATTTCTGGTCTCAGCCACAGAAAGAGTGTAGGTTCCATTGACTGAGATAGGGAAGAACATAGGGGAAGCAGGTTTGGGGGAAAGTTCATAATTTACCATTGTACATCCTGGCCTTGAGATGCCTACAGACACATGAGAAGATGCTAAGTGGGTAGCATTTAAAGTCAGGGAAGGAGGACTTCCCTGTTGGTCCAGTGGTTAAGACTCCCCACTCCCAATGCAGAGGGCCTAGGTTTGATCCCTGGTAGTGGAACTAGATCCCACAAGCCACAACTAAGACCTGGCACAGCCAAATAAATAAATAAATATTTTTAAAGGTAAAAAGAATTAAAAATAAATTTAAAAAGTTGAGGGGAGGGGTCCTGGCTGGAGATAGACGCTTGGGATTCACCAGTGAATTATGGTAACTGAGGGTCGGGGCTGGAAGAGATCACTCAGGAAAAGTATTGGGAAGGGGGATGGAGCCCTGGGCCCTTCAAGGTTTACAGACTGGGAAAAGCTAGAGGAAACTAGTCAGAGAGACTGAGGAGCAACTGGCCCAGGTGGGAAGAGAAAAGCGTTCAGAGAAATGGCAACGATCAAATGCTGCTTCCGCTGCCACTGTCTTCAAAGAAGGTGGACGTGGAGAATCGTCCACTAGATTAGCAAAGGGGAGGACCACACAAGCATGGTGAGAGCTTTGTCTGGGACAAAAGCCTGATTGGAATGGGTTCCGGAGGGAACCAGCTGTAGGAGAAAAATGAGAGACAGAGCATAATGAAACAGGCTCATCGTGTTCGACGTGGGCACCAAACCTCCACGTGGAGTGTGACGAGGGGTGAGTCCACTGGAACAAGAGGCATGGCCTGAACAGGGGTCTAGATGCAGAGGGTGGTCACTGTGGACCAGAGGTCATGCCAGCCTCTTTGATTGCTGCTATTTTCCTAGTGAAGTGGGAAGTAACTGTGGTCATGAGCTAAGAATAAGCTGGCTTATAAGGAGATGTTGGGGTTTGAGCATAAAGGAAAGAGTGTGTGAAATTATCTCTAAAAGAGTGTGATAGTGGATGAAAAAGGAAAAGTAGTGAGATTTCATAAAGGAAATCAGTCCTGAATATTCACTGGAAGGACTGATGCTGAAGCTGAAGCTCCAATACTTTGGCCACCTGATGCAAAGAACTGACTCATTGGAAAAGACCCTGATGCTGGGAAAGATTGAAGGCAGAAGGAGAAGAGAGTGACAGGATGAGTTGGGTTGAATGGCATCACTGAGTCCATGGACATGAGTTTGAGCAAGCTCTGGGAGTTGCTGATGGAGATAGTTGGCGTGCTATAGTCCATGGGGTCGCAAGGAGTCGGACATGACTAAGAGACTGAACTGAACTGAGTGAGATTTCTGGGCAGGACTAAGGATGGACCTGGTGTGGGGGTCACAAATTTACAGAAAAACCAGTGAGCAAGACTGTGAGTTATGCTATAGTAATGTTTGACTCTCCATGTACAGGTGAAGAAGAGACGGCAAGTGAGATTTAAGCAGGGTTGGGGTTTTGCCAGGCCCATATAATGGAACACCAGAGGGGAAAGGAAGTTGAGAGTGAAAACACGGAAGTGATCATAACGATGGTGAGGCATGAAGTAAGCTCCTGACCAGCTTAGGAGGCATCCAACATCCTTGCCCTTGGCTGCTAATTAGCTCTACCTTGGAAGTTGGCAGGAGAAAATCTTGAGAAGGTAGGAGACCTCAAGTGCAATGTCACTATTTTTCTCTGGAGAGTATTTTTGGTGCTTACAATGGAACTTAATTTGATAAGATGGGAAATGAGGATACGGTTGGGGAAGGGGCAATGACAAAGTAATAGGATCAAATGTCTGTGGATGCCAGTGAGATTAAAGAATCTGGGGACTGGAGCATCAGAGGGAGGGAACCAGACAGAAAAGAGAGAGTAGTCAGGCAGTGTGTGTTAGTTGCTCGGTCGTGCCTGACTCTTTGTGACCCCATGGACTGCAGCCCACCAGGCTCCTCTGTCCATGAGATTTTCCAGGCAAGGATACTGGAGTGGGTTGCCGTTTCCTTCTCCAAGTCAGGCAGTAGGATGCTTGAAATTGAGATCATGGAGCAGTGCAGTTACGACATGGTCTACACTGGCCAAGGAAATGAGGCCAGCTGAAAGTGTCGAGTTAAACCATCACATAGATGAGGTTAAGGAACCAAGAGGCCAGGGTACAAGAAGGGTCATATAAGTGGATATGGAACTAACCAAGAACTGCTGGCAGGAGAAGAGATGGGGAGAGAGGCAGTAAGCAAGAGCTAAAACCTTCCTGGGATGAAGGAGTGCCTAGGAGTCTGCAGATAGATGCACAGGGAAGGAGTAGCAGGTGGTGTTGTCTGATGCCATGAGCTCCAAACTGGCATTTTAGTACAGGCGTGAGGAATAATAGTCTGGAAGCAACAATGGCAAGCAGGGAGTCACCTACCCCACCTCCAGGCTCAAGAGTACCAAGCAGTATGGGAGGGAAGACAGCCACCACATGACAGAGCTGCAGATCAAGCAGCATTCCTGGGGGAGACGCAGGGTCCAGTTAGAACAGGAGGTAAGGGGAAAATCCAGAGAAGGCTCTTGTTGATGATGGAACATGAGTCCTAGCCAGTGCAATATCAGGGTTTGGGAAGTGGGGGAGGAATGGGAGGTGGGTCAGACTAAGGCATGGGCCTTTCGGGGAGGGAGTTTGTGGTGAGGACAAAGGCTTGGTGGTGTTAACCATGGAGATCTCCCAACAGACTGCAGTGAGTGTTGGGGAGCAGGGAGTCTGGGGCCATGCCACTGTCTCTATCACCTCCCATTGCCTCTGCAACACACTCCAACCGGGTCCTGTCCCCATCACCCTCCTGAAACTGTTCCCATTAAGGCCACCTCTGCATTGCCAAAACCCACGGATTCCTTCTCCACCCTCATTTTATTTGACCTTTCAGAAAATCTCACACAGATGATGACTCCTTCCTTCTGAACGCACTCTTCTTTTCACTTCTTTGTCCCTGTATCCTCTGGCTTTTTGCCTGTCAGCCTGGCCACTCTTCCTGACCTCTTTGGTGAGTGCCTCCTCTATCATTTCTCTTAAAGGCTAACATGTCCCCAAGCTATTAGTGCGCTGCCCCGTTTCACATTTTCATGGGCTCGCCCTGATGAAAGCACAGTCTCTCCTGACTCCCGCTGCCACTCCATCCTCCAACTACCAAACCTAAGACTTATGCACATATTCCCAGCCATGGTGAAGTGGCTTTTTCAGTGAGTGTTGTAGGAATTCTTGAGTTAGGTCACACGGCAGGCATTGAGTGACATGAAGAATGTGCAAGACAGTCTCTGCCCTCAAGATGTTCAGCATCCTCTTAAGAAGATGAGACAGAAGTGCATAAAAATATAGTACTTCTGATTATGAAAAAAAATACCAACAAGCAGAGCTGGACCATATTCAAATGGTCATCTACTTCCTCCTACTCAATTTTCAAAGCCATGATGAGATGACTTACTACCTATAAGGCCACCCTGGGAATCAGACCCAAGTCTCTCAACTCCTAGGCCAGTGCTCTTGCCATGACATCTCAATGGGTGGTTAAGATCAGCAGTTAAGTACCATGAGACCTAAAATAAAAGGCAATGTGCCTTTGAAGTTAGGGGCATGTATTCTGAAACCAGACTTCCAGGGTACAAATCACTAGTGAACCTCAAACCACAGTAACCATGCAGTAATAATTACCCTGGGAGAATCACTTAATTTCCCTGTGCCTTGTCAGTTAAATGTGGACAATAATTGTACTACCTCACAGTAAGGATGAGGAGTAACATGAGTTAATACAGGTAAGGTGCTGAGAATGCCACTGGCACTTAGAGAGCTAAGTGAGGTTTTAAAGGCTAACACACTGGAAGGTGATCAACAGGAGAGAAAGTCTGTTAAGTGCTGGGTACCCAGTTCCTCTCTGAACTCCAGGAGCCTGGCACATGTCACCAAATGAATGAGCTAATGAACATTTAACATCTATAGGAAACCAATACCAGGGATCACCTCCATCAACCCCCATTTGCACCATCCAGGATGTCCATCAAAACCAGGGAGGTAAATTTCACCATGATCAGCACTATCAAAAAAATCCTAGTGCTAGCCTAACATCTACTAACTCAGTCCAAGGCAAGAGGAGATACAGACGTACAAATCTCAGGACATGTATTAATAAACAGGCAGAATAAACACTGGCATCAGAAGGACAAATCAAAGTCCCTGGGTGGGATGTAAATCTGGTGTCATTGAGAATTAAATGAGATACTAACTTCCTTTAATTTATGACTCCAAGGAATAAAATCCCAGTTCTCAATCAGCGTCAGTCAGTGGCCCAAGACAGAACATAAATCCTTTGACTCTACACAAAAAGAAACAATGCAAGGGTGGAGGGCGAGGGGAGAGGTTGGAATCTTGGTCAATCCTTCTATGCACTGAACACTTGCCCCCAGATAAAATCACTCACTCAGTGATATACCAGAAAGAGGAGGGCTAGCAGCAATTCCGGAGGGAAAAAACGAGATAGGTGCTTCCCATTTTGATAGATTCTCCATGGTCTACAGAGCTCCTCTTTTCAGGAAAGCTTGGGGTGTGAATCAGATCCCAGGTCCTGATGCCCAGGCTCTTGGTAAACTAGAGGCGCTTGGGAGGGGACGTGGGGGTGGGAAGAGTGGGGAGCGGCTCTTTGGACATCCTCAGACCTCGGTGAGGTTCCAGGAGCCTGTGGCTGGTTAGTGAAATGGATCAGGTCTGACCTCGGAGACCTACCTCGGAAGGTCAAGCCTCTCTTTTGGCCGCAGCAGAGATAGCTCCATCTGCCTCGCTGGGCCCATCTTTTCCCACGCGACCCCACGCGCCCTCGGCTCCTCCCTGGCCCCGTGCGCCCCGCTCCCACCCCGCCATCCCGGGTACTCACTCCCACTCCTTGCGCCGCGCCTGCGGGGTGCTCTGCATCTTGTGTGCCTCGTGGGCCTTGATGATGTCCCGCTGCTCGATGAGGCCCCCGCGCCGCCGCTTCATCACCTCGGGGCTCACGGGCAGGAAGGGGCTGGAGCCGCCCTCCCAGCCCGGGCCCTCGCCTTCCTGCACGGGGAAGAAGTTGTCGAAGCCGGCGGCGGCGCGCGGGGAGGCCGGCAGCATGCCCGCCTCGTCCGAGGCGTCGGCCTCGAGCAGGGCGCAGTGCTGGGGCCGCCATGCCTCCTCCTCGGGCAGGGCCAGGACGTGGCGGCGGTGGTGGCGGCCCGCGGCCCCGGGCTCAGGGCTCCCGCCCGCAGCCGGGCAGAGGGCGGGCTCGGGCAGCCTGCGGCCGGGGCTCAGTCCACGCATCTCGGGCACCATCACAGAACATTGCTCTGCGCGGGGAGGTGGGCGAGAGATAAGGGGTGGGAGGGCAGGGAGGGGAGGGGTGGGCAAGAGAGAGAGAGAGAAGAGAAAGAAGTTAATGACGTTGTCCTCTGGGGCAAGGCGTCTGGCCTGGCCCAGAAACTGGCACACAGTTGGCGCTCAATAAATGATTGTTGCACTCCAGAGCGCCCATCCTGGAGCAGGCTGTGTGCCAGGTGCTGGCAATAAATGATGGTTGAACTTGGGAGCATCCACTGTGGACCACGCTGTGTGCCAGGTGCTGGGTGTCTAGAGTTAAGAGAAGCAGGTTTGATTTTTGCCCCGTGAACTTCAGTCTGGCACAGAGAGCAGAAGTTAAAGGCATGATTATAGGCAACTGTGATCAATGTCTCAGGTTGCTGAGAGAAGGATACCAAAGGCTGTCCTTCTCAGCCCCACCTTGACAGCTAGCTGGCCATCCCAGCCTGTCCGTGGTGAAAGAATCTCCTTACTCCTCTTCCCGGGGACCCAGCTTTTCTGGGGAACCCACCCACCACCTGCTCCCCTAACTCTCATACTCTCTCTGGTGGTGCACGTTATTGATGAAAACTGGGTCTCATACAGGTTCCTTCCTCACTCTCATATGCTCATTCGAGCAGGGTCTGGGGAGCATGTGTAGAATCAGGTGTGCTGGCCGGCTCCCTTGAGCCTGGTTTTCCTCTTCCATGCCAAGGAAGATGTGGCCGGATTTGCCTCTGTGAGACACACTCATTCAATCAACACTGACTGAGGGCTAACTGCGAGTCTGGCGCTGGGCACGCCAAGATGAGCTGGATTTAGTCCACATCCTCCTCCTTGGAGGAACAGGATGAACATGAATTTGACCACACAGCCTGATGTGCTGTGAGTGAGGTGGGCCTGATGGCTATGTGAGCCCATGCACGGGTCCTCTCAGCCCACTTGCGGGCTTTTTAGAGGAAGAGACCCCCAGGCTGGGTGTAAGCGGGGTTTGCCTGGTGAGGAAAAGGAAATCACCAGCAAAAGGGACAGCATGTGCAGAGAGGACTTAGGGAAACTGAAGGACTTAGAAAGAGTTCCCATAGCAAGTCGGAGGTCTGGGGGACAGTCCTGAATTGAGAGAACCTGAACTTACCATCTTTTCCAGACCTCTACCTCCTGTTTCCCTCCCCGCCAAGAGCCCAACACTGTAATTCGCAGCCTCTTCCCCATCCACGTTCCAAACCACGCCCCTAGTGACATAGCTGGCACAAACAGGCCCCTGTGGCTCCAAAAAGTGCCATTGGGCCTACACACTGGGAGGAGCCCAGGTATCCACACCACTAATCCAGGGCTTAGTGAGCACCTATGATGAACTGAGGGCTAGGCTGGGCCCCCAGAGAAGACATCTTCCCAGACCCTGCTCCGCCTTCCCCCGTCTGGACTGCATACCAAATCACAAATCACAAAAACTGAGAATATTAAAATGGGCAGGAATCTTAATGGTCAAGCCATATCATTTTACAGGTGAGGTCCCGAGAGATAAAGAGTCTTGCTCAGACTAGTCATACTAGAAATAAAAGAGCTGGGAAAGGCTCAGGTTTTAAATTTAACTCACAGTTTTTTCCACTAGATTGATCAGACTGCCCCTACCCCATGAAGCAATGCCCCTTCAATCCCCTCCTCATTACATTAAGGAAGCAGGTAGAAAAGGCAGGATGGGGATATCCCTGGCAGTCCAGTGGTTAAGACTCTGTGCTTCCACTGCAGGGGGGGTGGGTTCTATTCTTGGTTGGGGAACTAAGATCCCACATGCCTCAAGGTGCAGCCAAAAAAATTTTAAAAAGGCAGGATGATTTTAGTGCATAGGTGATCAAGGCTGATATGAGTGTCAAATAGACCCTCACCTCTCTGGGGAGCAGGCCAGAGGTATCTTCCTCATTTGTCTCCTGCATTTCTAGCATGTGGACTGGTCATCCCAGCCTTGCCAGCACCACACCCAACAGCTCAGGGATACAGGGCAGGAGGACCTGGGATGCACTGACCAGCCTTAGGTACACAGCCACCACGCTCAGTCAAGAGGGCAGGGGCGGGGGAGATAAAGGGTCCCGGATAAGCTTGCAGGAGAGGAGAAATGAAGGGGAAAATCCGTTTCCAATCCTGCACACAGTTGGGTGGGTCCCTAGAAAGAGTGATTCATGTTCCTCACGTTGTCGTCCTGTCTCAACTCTGCTTGATGGATTTTAAATTTATCCTTCATTCCTACAATGTTTAAATGTCTCTCCCCCACCACACACATGCACACACCCCTCCCCGGCTGCTCCCTGTCTCTCTGCAGGCTTTAGCACCACCAGAAGCCCAAGCAGCCTCGGGTTCTCTGCAGCCGAGAGAACCTTCCTCATGTCCCAGCTTGGCAGAGGCTCCCGGACCACCCTCCCAGCTCCCACCAAGGACCTGGCTCCTTGTCTCTGATTCCTGGCCCACCCTCTCCCTCCTCACTGGATTCCCCCTTCCCAGACACGCTGCCAACTCGAGTCACATCTTTTGCCAAAATTACAGCAGCAATAATATGCACCGCAGCGCTTCTGCTTCAACTGAATCAATTTTACGAATATCAAAACATGAAATTATCTCATCTTTCCTTTAAGAATTCCTGTTAAACAACCCTTCTATTATTGACATAAATGTTCATCATGGGAATCTGTCGCCCCCACTGCCTGCCAAGCTGGCCGGTCCCCAGGTCTGGCTATCATCGAGCTGAGAAAACATCTTTCATCTTAGGAAATTTAGACGAGACGGAGTCTGCATCTTTCAGGGAAGGACATTTGAATCTACTCTATACTTAGCTTTTCTCCCAGCCCCCAAATTCTGGCATTCTTTGAGTACCTTGAGATCAGAGATCTTGTCTGGATTTATCTTCCTATATCCAGACCCTAGTACTAAGTTCAACATGTAGGAGACTGTTGCGGTGGTCGCTGATGAGGGCTTCTCTCGTGGCTCAAACAGGAAAGAATCTGCCTGCAATGCAGGACACCTGGGTTTGATCTCTGGGTCAGGAAGATTCCCTGAAGAAGAGAATGGCAACCCAGTCTAGTATTCTTGCCTGGAGAATTCTGTGGACAGAGGAGCCTGGTGGGCTACAGTCCATGGGGTCACATGGTGGTCGCTGATAACTGTCAGTCAAATAGCCTGGTTATCCCCATCCTGGGCATGTGGTAGGATGTACATCCTGGCTCCCTGTGGTTCATGTGACCATGCTGACCTGTGAGTTGTGAGTGGAGGATATATGTCATTTCAAGGCTAAGCACTTAAAGCCAGTGTGAGACCTCTAGATCTAGAGGGACGGGTCCATTTTCTGTAAAGGACCAGATAGTAATTATTTTAGACGTTGCAGGCCATGTAATCTTTCTTGCAAATACTCAAATTCTGCGGTTGTAGCCTGAAGCAACCAGACAATGTGTAAGTGAATGTGTGTGACTAGGTTCTGATAAAACTTTATTGATGAACTTTTGTAAACTTCACCCTTTCAACTGGACCTCTTGGACACTATCATGGCCACTTAGTCTGTGTCCACAAGTTCTATAGAACAGCAGGAAAAAAAGAGGGGATAGAGACCCACAAAACAGAATGGAGGGTGGACACATCAAGTGAGAAGCTTCCTGAGGGCAAAGTTTCTGTGCTGTGGGCCCACCCGCAGTCTCTAGGGGAAGGAAAACAGGCCCTGCTGCTCCGCGATAATGGAGCATTATCATGGAGCTCATGAAAGCCCCCAGGGCACCTATCTTACTCCACTAAACTTGCCTTCCACTTACTTCTCTTCTTTTTCCTTGTTGGTTTGTTTGACTAATATGCAAGGTGGTGGTGGTGGTGGTTTAGTTACTAAGTTGTGTCCGACTCTTGCGATCCCGTGGACTGTAGCCCCCCAGGCTCCTCTGTCCATGGGATTCTCCAGGCAAGAATACTGGAGTGGGCTGCCATTTCCTTCTCCAGGGGATCCTCCTGACCCAGCAAGGTATGCAAGGTACGGGATCTTAAATTATGGGGGTCCTGAGGAGGAAGAGAGTTTAGGCACACATTTGTAATCCAACAGCCCCATTAAACGTATTTGTCTCCCCTTGTTTGTCAGGTCACATAGGGAAGCAGAGTGAGGGGTCTCCTTTCCACTCCTACCCCCAAGCACCTTGCACGGATGAAGATGCTCGAGCCAGTGGTCCACGCTCCTGCCTGCCTCTGAAACCTCCCCTCTCTCCCCTCAGAGCCAAAGTCAAGATCTTCCTCCTAAAAGGGACAAACTCTTTGGACCATCAAGAGTTTTAATTTTAGAGGCTTCCCTGATGGTTCTGTGGTTAAGACTCCATACTTCCAATGCAGAGGGGCAAAGGTTCAAGCTCTGGTTGGAGAAATAAGATCCCACACACTGAGTGGTATGGCAAAAGCAAATAAATATATATTTTTTAAAAATATATGTATACTTTTTAAAAGAGTTTTAATTTTATCCATCTATCTTTGATTGCTTTAGTAATAATGCATTCCCCTTGGCATGTCCTTGCCGGTCAGACCCAACAGGTGAGTCCACCATGTTGAAGACATGCATTGTCCTCTCATTGGGTTCATGTCCATTCCACTCCCACCCCTCACTTTCTGATTCTTCCAGAACATGAACATCTTCCAGTCACCTTCTGAGAAACGGATCCATCAAGAAGTCAACAAAGTCACAATGCTCTTGTGAATGCATTGCCTTCAAACCCTGAAAGTTTTGAGTTGAGCAAGGAGGAGAAAGTCACCCCTGGATACAGCACCAAGCAGCACAGGCTGGGAGACAGTGAGCAGAGATGGAGCTGATGGGCAGTGAGAGGTGGCCGGTAGGCACACAGATGTCCCTAAGCTGGACCTGAGATGCCCAAGCCCTGCACCCTTTGTCTGCCCTGGGCAGGGAGAGGGCAGAAGGGTCCCCATCCCAACCGTAAGGAATGAGAACTCACAAGAGGAAAACACTTTTAAAAATACTACACAACTGA